GAGATGATCAGAAAGAAGATGGTGTTTTCAGGACAAAAAGAAAAGTTGAACCAACTACAAAGTTTTAATTAAAAAAAAAAAAGAAAAGAAAAGGAAAGGAAAGAAAAGAGCCCAGCTGGCATGGCTCAGTTGTTCAGCTTAAACCTAGGAACCAGGAGATGTCGATTCGATTCCCAGTCAAGGCACAAGCCCAGGTTAAAGTCTTGATCCCCAGTAAGGGGCATGCAACAGGCAAAAAATCCGTGATTCTCTGTTATCATTGATCTTTCTCTCTCTCTCTCCCTCTCCCTTCCTCTCTGAAATCAGTAAAACTATATGAAAAAAATGAAAGAATATTCATGGCACAGTAAAGTAGAGCAGTGAGTCAATCCTATATAATAAATGGCTAATATGCAAATGGACCAAACAGCAGAAAGACTGGTCACTGTGACACGCACTGATTACCTGGGGCAGATGCTGATGGCAAAAGCTGTCCACCGGTGGTCAGTTCGCTCCCAAAGGGGGAGCACCGCTCAGCCAAAAGCCAGGCTCACAACTGATGAGCACAGGGGGGGAGTGGGAGCCTCCATTGCAGCAATAAATCGGGCCTAAGCCGTCAGTTGGACATCCCCCAAGGGGTCCCAAACTGGAAGAGGCTGAAGCACTGACTAAGGGACCCCCCTCAAGTGCATGAATTTTGTGCACTGAGCCTCTAGTTATATTATAATAACTGTGTACGGTGTCAGATGGGTTTGAGATTAATTGCATGATTTGTTGGTCCATTATATAATGTCTAATCATTGGGGTGTACCCTGACAGGGACCTAATCTTCTAAGACAACTGTCATTTTAAAAATGTTTTTAAAATTCTATAGGACCATGTTACCTGCAGAGAGTCATATTTTTCCTTAAGTACGTTTTGTACAGTTTGTTCTAGAAGAGAGATCTAAAGCTAAAAAGAAAGAAAAGTTCAGATTTATAAATTTGCAAAATAAACCAAGGGCAACCGCAAACACAACGGTAAAAACCATAAAGATAAAAGTCGAGGTCAAATGCATTTGGAGACCGCATCCCCTGTCTTTCGATACCAGGACCGAAGTAGCGAGAGGCTCTGAGAAGCTGTGGCTGTTGCTCCTTGGACCACGCAGGGGTCATGGCCCAGCTCCCTTCAAAGGTGCACCTCACCTCCCACCCCATCCTCCTGAGGCGTAGGACCTCAGGGTATGAGGACGAAAACAATCGCACATGGTTGCACCTCATCATGGAGACAGAAGATGTCCTGAAAGTCCTGTTGCACCAGGTAGACATCCCCATTGAGGATATTGCACTCACCCCAAGCACGCTGACCTCGTTCACCATGCCTTTGATGTGGACGCTCCAATCTTGTAGCCAGTACGTGGACAACATGCACAGGTTCTGGCGCATCGTGCGCCACGTAAAGGTGGATGGATTGGAGGAAATGATCCTTGAGCTGATGGAAGACTCATAGGACATGTGATGGGGTCCCTGGCTCTTGTCAACCTGAGCCCCAGTCCTGCTGGCCTGCTTGTGGGACATGTATAGTTCTGTTAACCTTTTTACTAAGCTCCATTGTTCTATCTGCCACGCTCAAGTGCAAGGGCACATTGATGTCTCTCTCTCTCTCTCTCTCTCTCTCTCTCTCTCTCTCTCTCTCTCTTCTCCTTCTTATTCTTCTTCTTGTTGTTGTTCTTCTTGATCTTCTTGTTCTAGTTCTCCTTCTTCTTCTTGTTCTAGTTCTCCTTCTTCTCCTTCTTCTCCTTCTTCTCCTTCTTCTCCTTCTTCTTCTTCTTCTTCTTCTTCTTCTTCTTCTTCTTCTTCTTCTTCTTCTTCTTCTTCTTCTTCTTCTTCTTCTTTTCTTCTTCTTCTTCTTCTTCTTCTTCTTCTTCTTCTTCTTCTTCTTCTTCTTCTTCTTCTTCTTCTTGTTCTTCTCTCCTCCTCCTCCTCCTTTCTCTCTCTCTCTCTCTCAGTCTCTTTGTTTCCCTGTATGTCTCTGACTCTCTCCCTCTCTCTCAAATCAATAAAAGCATTTTGACCCAAGCTGGTGTTTATCAGGGGTTGACGGACGACCTATGAACCTGGAGGTCACAGTTCAATTCCTGGTCCGGGCACAGACAAGAATTAACCAATGAGCCCAAGCTTGTTTGGTTCAGTGGATAGAGGGTTGGACTGTGGACTCTGGAAGGTCCCAGGTTCGATTCTGGTCAAGGGCACACGCTCTGGTTGTGGGCTCAATCCCCAGTAGGGGGTGTTTAGGAGGCACCCGATGTATGATTCTCTCTCATCATTGATGTTTCTTTCTCCCTTCCTGTATGAAAGCAATCCTATATAATAAAAGCCTAATATGCTAAGTGTCCAGTCGATTGGTCATCTGTTCAACCAATCAAACATAATATGCAAATGATATACTAAGGTTGCTCAACTGCTCACTATGAAATGCATTGACCACCAGGGACAAGACATTCAGATTGGTAGGTCAGATTGCAACTGGGGTCTGGCTGATGGGGACTGAGTGAGACAGGCTGTACACGGCCTGGAGCCCTCCCATGGTCCCTCCCCAGCTGGCCAACCTCCCAAGTCCCTCTCCAGACCTAATGGGGTACCGGTGGGGTCTTTTGACCTGGCCTGTGCCTTCTCGTAGTCTGGGAACCCGCGGGGGATGTCAGAGAGCCACTTTCGGCCGATCCCCGCAGGCCAGCCCGAGGCACCACACTGGTGCACGAATTCGTGCATCGGGCCTCTAGTAAAAATATATAAAACAGAGAAAGACAAAGAAAAAGACCTTCAGCGTGAAAATATTAGCCCAGCCCTGGTAGGCAAGTTTCGAAGACATCACTGGAAATAGTTTTCATTTCAATGAGCAGCGTTCTCATTGTTTGATCTCCTGAGCTTTGTCATCCAATACGACCCTCTCCAAAAAAAGAACGAATGTTTGGGGGATAGGAGTGTTTTATGCTGATCATCTCTTTCCTTTGAGGAATTATGAGGGATGCCAAGGCTAGTCAGCTGAAGGCTTGAACAGGCTCTATGTGTGGCTTTAGTGTCTAGCTCTAGATGCATTTGGGTTTTTAATTGTGTTTAGCACTAAACATCTCCAAACAAAGCCCAGCGATCATAAAATTTATCTAGCATCGCACCTAAGACAGGTGGCGGAGGAGGGCCCAGGATGAGCCCCAAAAATTAATTTCATGTCATCCATGGCGGCATTAAAGTGATCACTGAGTGCTGATTAAATTCTCCTCTTGCAAGAAAGTGTTTGCAAATGCACATTGAGACCTTTAAGGCTGAGGACTGTGGAGCGTGAGGGTTGTGTTTCTAAGGTGTGTTTCTCATATTCAAAATATTGCACTTCAGGCCCAGCTGGAGTGGTTCAGTGACTGAGTGTGGTCATATCAACCAGAAGGTCACGGTTCGATTCCCGTTCAAGGGCACATGCCCAGGTTGTGGGTTCGATCCCCAGTTGGCGGCGTTGGGTGACGGCCCATCCGTGTTTCTCTCTCATCCTGGATATTTCTCTCCCTCTCCTTTTCCTTCCTCTCTGAGACAATAAAACCATTTTAAAAATATTAAGCAAGTGTGGCATTCAGATTAAATGCGCATTGTTTTAAAATAGTTTATTATTTTTTTTTTGGTTTAACATACCAGGTGGGTAGTCATTTAAAGACGACATAGCGCCTGAGCATGTTTGGCTCAGTGGATAGAGCATCGGCCTTTTTTTTCAAATATATTTTTATTGATTTCTGAGAGGAAGGGAGAGGGAGAGAGTTAGAAACATCCATGATGAGAGAATCATGGGTCGGCCACAACCTGCAAGTCCCTCACTGGGAATCAAGCCCACAACCTGGGTATGTGCCCTTGACCGGGAATCAAAGCCTGGGTTCAAGCCCACAAACTGAGCATGTGCCCTTGACTGGAATCCAATCCGGTACTCTTCAGTTCGCATGCTGACGCTCTATCCACTGAGCCAAAACGGCCAGGGCCAATTTGACTTTTAAAAGGCTGCAAATGCCTTGAAGAAGAACGAAGCATCTCAGCACTCATGTCACAGTGGGAATTACAACTCACCTCCCTATTCTTTCCACATTGTTCCTGTAAATGCAGACTCTGACTAATAATGAATCTTGTAGGTAAACAGCATGTTTGTATAATAATCCTAGGAACTAATTTTACAAGATATGAACTCTGACCTTTCCAATTCTAGGAGATTTGCTGACATTAAACCTTAGAACCAGGAGGACAAACACTATGATGACGCACTCTGGACCGACACCTGACCACTTGCAAGATACTTATCAGATTGGACTGTGCCTGTCGGCATGTAGAGAACTTCTCAAGCCCCGCCCCCTGACCTCTTCGCTCTTTTTGGCGTCTCCCTTCTTATAAAAGCCTCTGCCTGCACTGAGATTTGCAGATGGGTTTTGGAACGAGCTTCCCCCATCTTCTCAGGTTGCCGGCACCTGAATAAACGTCTTTCCTTCCTCACCACCACCTGTCTCAAGGGACTGGTTTCTGGGATGTGAGTCAGGGGAACCTTGTTTTTTTGGACACATTCCTGGTACAGGGACTCCCTGGAACCTGTGTATCATGGTCATGTTCATTCTTCTGCAGGTGACAGCGGGAAGCAGAGACCGGTCACAGAGGAAAGGAGTGAAGAATGGTGCTTTGCCTTTAGAGCAAGAAGAAGAGGTAAGAAAAAGATGGATGGGAGGAGGAGGAGGAATAATTGGGGATGGAGTCTAATCTGAGGGAGGAATTTGGTCTTTGTGGACTGAAGTGAGTTTAGCAGCAAAACCATACGGCTCTTGCCAAGAGCATAGCCAGGTTTGGGGAAGGGAGAGATCATTCTATAAGTGATGTTATGAGACCTCAGGAATTCTACTTGTGTTTCACCTGTCTCTTTGCTTCCTGTTTGCTTGATCAAATATCCCAGTATCTGTCTGTCCCTGAATATTTTGGTCTTGCCTCTCTCACCAGCACTTGAGAAGCAAGACCGCTGTTAAGAAGCTCACCTGGACGCAGACCTTAGCCTTTTTCCTCTGCCAGCTGTTAAAGGTAAAGCATATTATTTGCATGGGATGGCTTGTTCTATGGTTTGTGAATTCCCTCTGAGATGATCAGAAAGAAGGTGGTGTTGTCAAGACAAAAAGAAAAGTTGAACCAAGTACAAAGTTTTAATTAAGAAAAACAAAGAAAAGAAAAAAAATAGACTGGCTGGCATCGCTCAGTTGTTTAGCTTAAACCTAAGAACCAAGTGATGTCGATTCAATTCCCAGTCATGGCACATGCCCGGGTTACAGTCTTGCTCCCCTGTAGGGGGCCTGCAGGAGGCAACCAAACCCTGATTCTCGGTCATCATTGATCTTTCTTTCTCTACCACTTCCTTCCTCTCTGAAATCAGTAAAACTATTTGAAAAAAATGAAAGTATAGTCATGGCACAGCAAAGTAGAGCATTGAGACATTCCTATATAATAAAAGGCTGATATGCAAATCGACCAAACGGCAAAACGACTGGTCTCGATGACACCCACTGACCACCAAGGGCAGATGCTCACGGCAGGAGCTGTCCACTGGTGGTCAGCGCACTCCCACAGAGGAGCGCCGCTCAGCTAAAAGGCAGGCTCATAGCAGCCTAGCACAGGGGGTTAGTGGGAGCCTCCACAGAAGCACTAAAGTTGGCATTAACCATCAGTAGAACATCGCTCAAGGGGTCCTAGACTGGGAGAGGCTGCAGGGTTGGCTGAGGAACCACCTTGAGTGCATAAATTTTGTGCACTGAACCTCTAGTAATATGTAATAACTGTGTATGGTGTCAGATGGGTATGAGATTAATTCCATGATTTCTTAGTCCATTATAAAATGCCTAATCATTAGGTGTACCCTGAAATGAACATAAGGCTCTATGTTAACTGCCATTTAAAAATGTTTTTAAAATTCCATAGGGACCATGTTACCTTCATAGAGTCATATTTTACCTTACATACTTTTTGTACAGTTTGTTTGAGAACAGAGCTCTAAAACTGAAAAGAAAGAAAAGTTGAGATTTATAAATTTGCAAAATAAACCAAAGGCCACCACAAACACAACCGTAAAATCCATAACGATAAAAGCCGAGGTAAAATGCATTTGGAGACCCATCCCCTGTCTTTCCATAACAGGAAGGAAATAGCGAGAGGCTCTGAGAAGCTGTGGCTCTTGCTCCTTAAACCACGAAGGGGTCATGGTCGAGCTACTGTCGAAGGTGCACCTCACTTCACACCCCATCTGCCTGAGGATCCGTGGGCACTCGGTGTATGAGGACGAGAACCAGCGCACGTGGCTGCATCTCGTCTTGGACACAGAAGGTGACCTGCAGGTACGGTTGTGGCAGGACGACATCCCCAGTGGGTATATCGCACTCTCCACCAACCCGCTGATCTCGAGCACCATGCCTTCGATGTGGACACTACACCAGGGCAGCCAGTACCTGGACTCCATGGGCCGGTTCTGGCGCATCGTGCACCATGTCAAGGTGGATGACCTGGAGGAAATGATCCTTGAGCTGATGGCCGACTCGTAGGACATCTGATGGGGTCCCTGGCTCTTGGCAACCTGAGCCCCAGTCCTGCTGGCCTGCTGGTGGGATGTGGATAGTTATGTTCACCTTTTTACTAAGCTCTTTTATTCTATCTGCCACCCCCTGGGTGCGAGGGCACATTGATATCTCTCTCTCTCGCTATCTCTCTCTTTTCTTTTTCTTCTTCTTCTTCTTCTTCTTCTTCTTCTTCTTCTTCTTCTTCTCCCACTCCTTTCTCTCTCTGTCTTTTCTGTCTCTCTCTGTCTCTCTCCCTCTCTCTCAAATCAATAAAAGCATTTTGAATCAAGCTGGTGTTTCTCAGTCTTTGAGGGACGACCTATGATCCTGGACGTAACGGTTCGATTCTTGGTCCAGGGCACAGACGAGAATTAACCACTGAGCCCTAGTTTGTTTGTCTCCGTGGATAGAGGGTTGG